AAAAAAAAAACGGCGATAGGGTTGCTTTTTACTGGAAAGAGATCACCGTTGGGGAGACTGCTTTCTTATGCATGAAGTCTCATGGCTTCGCACCGGTACCCTGCCAACTGCGTCCAAATACCTTTAATCCTTCTATTGACTTAGCTACTTTGTTTTCAATAAGCTTTCGACACCCTTCTGCTTTGTGCATACAGGAAAAGGGGATGAGGGAGAGGATGCGTACCAAGGTGGAGCAGAGACAGACTTATGAAAAAAGTACTTACAAAGGATGTCTAGGTAGTATATATTTGCTCGGGCGCTTATGGAATAAACTAGATAATGCCAAGTTTGACCTGCGGAGGAATCACACGACTGGCCGTTGAACGTTGCCTTCTCTCTCACCTGCACGGTACCCGTGAGAAGTGCAGGCATTCTCTTCTTCCAACCAAAAGCCCTTTCAGAAACGATCAGCATCATCTTGTTGCATACCATCCTTGCACAAAATCATTTTTCTTCCTTCTTAACAACAATGGAAAAGTCTGGGGTCCCCAGAAACGCTATTCTTCGATCTCTTCTCGCACGCGAATCGTGCAATTCCCTGCCTTATCTTGCTTTCTATGGCTGTTTCAAATTCAAATACGAAAACTGAATGTTAAATAACAGGGTAATTTTTGGTGCTTGAATGGACATGACAGAATCATACGGGTCTATCAGGCTTCCTAGGTCGTTCAGCCTCCCCTCCTCTCTCTATCAGCTTTCACGAATAAAACTGCGGAACTCCTTCGACGGCTCGCAGCCTGTAAGGAGACAGACGTACAATATTGATTTTAATTTCACGCGCGGGCACATCAGTGTTCATCATGAATGCAACATCATGTTGACCGTCAATCACACTGGTCTGCCCGATTCTTCCCTCTTCCCTGCGTATGCTCGTCCCGTCCCTGTCGTCTTGTCTTCCCCGACTTTTCCCCCATTTCCCCCCGGAGAAACAGCCTCTGCCATCAGGGACAGGTCCTGCACCTCCGTCGCCGAAGGAAGTAAGGACAAGGCAGGGTCGACGTCGGCTACCGCCCACCGCATCGCTACGTCTTCTCTTGTTGCCGGCCGCACCAGTATGGGATGGTGCTGCTATATTCATATGCTTCCCTACCACTGCTCAATATCACAGCATCCCATCCGCCTGTCCACAAGTAAGCAATTAAACGGGTGCTGTGGTTTTCTTCCTATCGAGAAAACAAATTCAAAAATGCCCTCAAAAACAAACGCAGGCGTCACAGGGTGAGGCGTGCCCAGAGGAGAAGCGGCGTTTTCCTAGCGCACCCACCGCCCTTCTTGCCTCTTTCTCTTCCCCCTCACTTGCTGTGTTTCTCGTGCCCACCCTCCTCCCTCCCCCTCCAGCGTTGCCATTCAGGCGCGGCGATCAGAGTCACGTCCTCCGCTGCCGATCGGCAGCAGGTTTCTCATCCGACTTCTTGCCCCTTCATTTGACGGTGCAATCGAGGAAAGGTCAAAGTACGGACACTATTTAAAACTTTAAATACAAACTTTGCCCCCGGGGGCCGGATCTCCTCTGGGGGCCACCTCTCCCCCACCGTCCGTAGAGCTTTTCCACCGGGATTCGAAATTGAATGTACACCATATAAAATCAGGCCCCAGACGTACGATTACGCAATCGCGTGGCACTCCCACGACCAAGGCGGCGGTGGCTGTATGGCCTCCCTCTCCTCCTCTTGCCGCCCTCTCCAGCAGGTGTTTTCTCTCCTACTTAGACGACGCGTTTTCCTTGTCGTCGTCCGTCGCGAACAGGCAACGGCGAACCGAGAGAGCTCCGAGCTGCTGCATCCGTCGTTGTTGTTGTTGCTGCCCCCACAGAGAGGTCCCGGCACCGAGAAAAGGCGCTGATTGCACGAGGCGGTCGCGATGCTTCTTGTGCTTAGTCATGCTTGGTTCTTTGCTTCCCTTCTTGCTAGGATGAGAGCAGGAAAGAAGTTTCCTAGGAGAAAGGAAACGTGGAGGGAGGGGGGGAAAGGGGAGTGAAGGGAAGGAGGGAGGGATCAGGCGATGGAGACGTTCAAACTCATTTCAGATTTGCGAAGCACATTCCCACACTCAGCACAGGTCGTCATGGTATGCATGCGACGGGTTGAGGGCCAGGGGGCGGGGCAGGAGGGAGTGGGGGAGGGAAAAAGAAGTCTATACTGAGGTGGTCTGACGCGTACGTGTTCGCAGACAAGATAGGTCCCTTCAAGACGCCCCCAAACCGTACCTTTTCATCTCCCCTGCAGGCACGATATGTCCTGCCGACAAGCGTTTCTTCGAGGACAACAGTTGTCGCTGATGTTTGACATGGCCTCGATGGCTGATATTTGTGCGGGGCCCCGTGGGAGACGTCATGTGCCGAGGTGGTTTGGAGGGGGGGGACGAGCAGTGTGCAGGTGTGGTCAACGACGGCAAATTGTCGGGATCCACGCCCACCAAAACGAAAAATGCCGCAAGCACGTCGTCGACCTGTTTGGGGCTCAAGCATGGACGTGCCATGGTGGGCACCAGGTCTGGGGAAGGAAGGGTTGAAGAGGGATATGTCATGATGCTGAGCAGGCCGACACCGTGCCTCCCTCGGTCAACGCCTCGTGCTTTATGCGTCTGACGCAGAAGTGAAAGGACGCTGCAGGGGGTGCGTATTTGAAAATAGAAGTTTGTGAGTAATGTGGACACTCATGCGCGGAAGTGCCGTGTCAGGGGCTGATGGTTCAGTCAAGACGTGGTCAACGTTCGACATCAGAAGCCTGAAAGTGAGCTGCTGATCCACAGCGAACAAGCGCCCTTACAGACCAAAAGGACCTTTTCTCAACAAAACCCGCGTGCACTCGCACAAGCTATCCTGTTGAAATCATTCACGTGCGCCATTTTACTGGGTAAAAGTCTTCATTTCCACGCGCAGGATATGTGGTGTCAAGCCATGTCAAGAACGAAGACGTTCATGTCTCGTTGAAAATGAGGGAAGACGCACGTACACTGACGCACAAACGCCATTTTTCTTCTCTCCCTCGAATCCCGACGTTGAAAAATCCCAACACTGGCTGTTCCTTCAACGAAGGGAGTGCAAGCTTCCGTGCTCCTCGAAGTGGCGGGGGAACGGTTTGTCGCGTGTGTGGCACACGTGCAGTGGGATTGCCGGATATCCTTGAAGAGGTATCTTGCCATGATATCGCATTTCCAAAAGTATTTGAGGTGGAATGCGTGTCACGAAGGCCCCGGCGTCATGTTGAGCCTAGCGAGCCATCGCTCTCACCTCTGCCGCGGACCAGTGAGTCAGATGGCAATTGTGAAAGATAATTGGCACACGTACGGATCCGATAGCGGGCGTGCGTCACTGGAAAAGTTGACCATGACCTCCTCCAGGACCTTCACACCATTCGCTCTGAGGTTTTTGGATGAATCAATCCCGCGATTGATTACTCCTATTGTAATCGCACACTTTTTCGATGGAACGACCGTGACAAAGCACTTGACGTCATCGACGCATATCTTGATTGGCAATGTGGCACACATTGTGAAGCGGGAATTTAGGCGTGTAAAGAGGCTCGTTGAAGCGATGCCTGTGCCTACAAGGCTCAAGCCTCCAAATCATGCGCAGGACACATCCCTGTCCGTTTGTATGAATTATCTCCCAAGAAAAGAATCGAAAGTGGCACTACCTCTTGGGGCAATCGATTTGAAGGCAGGGAAATCATAAGCGGTTTGCAACGGGCACCGTGCCGATGTCTGGAATATAAAAGCCCTCCCGGCCATGGTAAAGAAAATAAACCAAACAAGTCCCACACCATGCTTCTTATCGACCCACATTGGCTCCATGTTTCTTTTGCGT